GAGCGCCGGGGCGCCCGCGGGCGCCRAGCCCGGGCGCAGGACTCACCCGCAGCGCCTCCAGCTCGCGGCGCGCCTGGCTCAGCTGCTTCTCCAGCTCCGCGATCTTGGCCATGGAGTCGTTCTCCGCATCCTGCAGCTTCTCCGTCAGCTGCAGGAGGAACCAGGCGCCCGTCGCTCTTCGCCGCCCGCCCCCGTCGCTCGCGCGGAGCCGTGGGGCTGGGCTCTGCGTCAGCGGCACCGGAGCCCCCGCGCGCAGCCGGCTGCCTCCTGCCCACGCGCCGCCCCCGGGCCCACCTGCGCCACGTGCTCCTGCAGCTCCTCCATGTGCTCCAGCACCGCGTTCTTGGTCTCCGTGTCCTCCAGCATGGCGCCCACGTCGAAGACGTTGTCCAGGTAGGCCTGGATCTGCACCTGCAGCTTGTCGCTCTCGGTGAGGCGCAGCCTCTGCGGCGAGAGCAGTGGCAGCGGCGTCACGACCGCGGCCGGCGCGGGGCTGGCGGGGCCGCGGGGCCGCCTCACCCACCTCCAGGTACTCGTCCAGCCCAAGGTGGGTGAACTCGTACTGCAGGAACACGCGGAAGTTCATGTTCTCCACGGAGTGYACCACGATGTTGATGAACTGCATGCAGGCGACCTGTGGGCCGCGGGGAGGGATGGTCGGCGCGGGCGGCCCCGCAGCCCCCAGCACCCGGCCCGGCCTCCCCGGGCCTCACCATGAAGTCGATGTTGCTGTCCTCGTTTCGGAAATACTCCATCAGCTTCTCGAAGCGGTTCTTCTCGMCGCACACCTGGCACGGGAGGGCAGCGCTCAGCCCCATGCCCTGCATGTCTCCGTCTGTCCTGGTGTTGGTGGCAATGGCCCAGAACAGCGCAGGGCACATGGGTCCTGGCATGACCGTAGCAAGGGGTGTGGGGTACGAGGGAGGACCGAAGAAGCTCATGTTCTCCACTGAGGAGACTCGCTCCACAGGGTGGAGCAGAGGACACGGGATGGGAAGGGGTRAAATGGGTGTTTTTGAGATTCGAAGAGGATGATGAGTGCACTGGGAAACTGAGGCATGAGCCCAGCTGGAGCTGGATCAGGGCTGGCCCAACAGACAGGGATTCAGCTTGTTGGTCATCATCCACCAAGGAAGCCCCATGGAGACACTCGACCATCCCGGCTGGGCCACTCACCTCCTTGAAGTTGTCRAAGGCAGCRAGGATGATGTCATGGCCACCTCGCACCAGGCAAACGGCCGCCAGCAGCTCCAGGACGAGCGCCTTGGTCCTGTGGGACACGGGGCCTGAGCAGGGCCTGGGCAGCTGAGGGCCCGGGGTGGTGCTGCGTCCTACCTGGGGTTCTTGTTGTTGAGGCTCAACGTGATCTCATTGACGCAAGCCGGGTGGTTCATCACCAGGCTGAAGCCAGACTGGGGCAGAAAAAAAGAGAGTTAGTGGGGGGTTCACATGCTCCTGTCCCCAGCCCTGGGGACCYCAGAGCCACAGGGGACCTCCCAGCAAATGACTTGTCGTGCCAGCACGTCCCATGCCAGCGTCCATCCCTCCTGCACCAGGACCCATCCCACGGGGTGGAGATGAGCCCATGGGGGACAACAGCACCAAGGCCACCCCATGGCAGCACCAGCCACCACGTGCCACGCRGGGAGCCCCGGCGCGGGGTGCCCCGGGGTCCCACCTGGTAGTTCATGATGGCGCGCAGGCACATGATGCAGACRTGCACGTCGTCCTTCTGGCTGACGATGCGCGAGTTCCTCAGCGCCTTCCTGCTGTGCGTGGGGTTGAGCCTGCGCGGGCGAGAGGGCGCGTGAGCCGCGGCGGCGGTGGCGGTGGGTGTGGAGGTGCTGGTTCGAGAGGCAGCAGCTGGAGCAGCGTTAGGGCCTGCAGGACAGGAGGCAGAAACGCGGCTGCCGCGCGGCACGGCGCGACGGGGCGGGCGCGGGGCCACGGGACGACGGGGCGGCCGCCTCCCCGGGCCGGGGGGCTCCTGACCTGTCCCTAGGGTGGGGGTTGGGGGGGGCACACGCACTGGGACTCCCCACCCCCGTGGGCGGCCCTGGCTGTCGGGTCCCCTTTGGGCGGAGAGGCCAGCGGGGGAGCGTGCGGGCGCGGGGCCCCGGCCCCGTCACCTACCGTGCGCGTGGCCCCCGGCAGCGTGCAAGAGAAGAGCGGGGTTAACAGGGGGGCGGGCGCCGGGCGTCCCGGCTGCCCCCGCAGCCTCACGCCCTCCCTGGCCCTGGGGAACCCTCAGAGACGCGGCCGGGGCAGCCCGCGGGCCGGGGCGCGGAGCGGGACCGGGGCAGCGTGCGGCGGGAGCGGCGGCGGCGCGGTGCGGCGTAGCGGGCACCCTACCTCACGTTGAGGTGGCGGCTCTTGGAGGAGCCCTGCGTGGGCGATGCCGAGGTGCTCCTGCTCAGGTCCTCCACCGAGCGCTCCAAGGGCTTGCCCTTGTCCGAGCCCGGGCTCCCATTATCCGCGCTCTCCATGTCGTACCTGCTGGCGGGGCGGGTGAGCGGGTGCCCGGGGACGGCTTCCAGCCCCGCGCAGGGACCGCGGGCGCCCGGGCTGGGGACACTCACGTGACAGCACACTGGGCGAAGGACAGGTACTCCAGGAGCACGTCCAGGCCCTTGTTCTCCTCGTTGAGGAACTCCTGCACCCACCTGCAGAGCGATGGGGTGAGCTGGGGCCACAAGGGCACGGCGGCACCCCTGAGGCACCGCGCCATCCCAAGGGCCACAAGGACACTGTGTCACCCCTGGGGCACCAAGGACCCCCATCACTCCAGTGACCTCTGCAGGGTCCATCCTGGCACGAGAGCAGGGACAAGGGCTCCACGGCACCGCTGGCGAGCGGAGAGCAGGGAGCAGAATCCAACCCCGGGTGTCCCCAACCGGGCCCCGCATCTTCAGGGCCGCGGGCAGGGAGCGCTGCGGGCAGGGTCCTCACCCGATGTAGTTGGTCCGCAAGGAAATCTCCAGCTCCCGGAGCACCTGCGTCGACTCCTGCACCCGCCGCTTGAACTGGGAGATGGGGAGAGCCRTGAGCACCAGCCTGGCCATCCCGTGTGGGGGTCCCCGCAGGCAGGGGACCTTGGTGGGCAGGGGGACGCACAGGTGGTCCCTCACCTTCCTGCTCACGCCGCCCGTGTCCAGGTAGCTCTTCAGCTTCTGGATGTAGGCGGACGGTGGGTTCTTCACCTGGAACCGCTCCTGCGGGCACGGGGGGAAGGCTGAGCCCCGAGGGAGCCGCGAYGCCCCGAGGGAGCCGYGACRCCCCGAGGGAGCTGYGCCAGCTGCGGTGGGGACGGCCCCGCAGCACGGGGGCCTCACCTGGTCGCACACCAGCTCCCATTTCTTCTCGTTGTCGTACTGGCTGAGCAGCTGCATCTTGTCTGGGGGCAGGTTCATGGAGCTCTGCGGGGAGGCGGGTGTCRGGGCCGGGCACCAGAGCCCCGACGGTGCCACCCATCCGTGTCATGAGCGGGAGGCACTCCCAGCCCCAGCACAACTGTGGGACACCAGGACACCCCGGGGCCTCGTCGCTTCTGCTGTCTGAGCAGCGCGAGGCCGTGGTGGGGACCCCACTAAAGGCGGGGGGCGCAGGCACGCGGCCCTCACGGTGCCACCCGTGCCCCACGGCGGGGGCRCTTCGCGGCGCCAGGATGTGGCCCGCGGCGCAGGAAGCGGCCCCCGCGCCGGGCGAAACCGCTCCGCGCTTCCTGCCGGGGCCGCTCGCGCACAGAGCGCCCGCCCGGCCTCGCCGGGCACCAGGTGCAGGGCACGAGGGGCAGGGGAGCTGCCGGCTCCGGGGACGCCGAGGCTGCAGCCTGGCCCTGCCCGGGGCGCCCGGCTCCGGCGGGGAAGGAGTGGCGAGCGGCCGGCGCCTGCACCCGCCGCCTGCACCCGCCGCGGCCGCGGCCTCCCCGCCGCCTGCTGCTCCTGCCTCTATTTTAGGAACAAGCAGAAGCTGCTCTGGAGACCGAACAGAAACGAGAGCGAGCCGCGCTGTCCACATCCGGGGATGGAGCGGGGTGCCCTTATGGCCCCGGGGATCGGGGCGCTGCTGCCTCCTTCCCCCCAGCTGGGCATTTCCATGCCCACACGTAGGGATCCCCTGAGCAATTGGAGGCAATTCCCTTTGTGCCCTCGGGAATTCCCGAATCCGCAGGTGACGCTGGGACCCGGTCGGCACCGGCAGGACAGGAGCCACTGCGTGGCCTCATCCGGAAGGCGAAACCCCCGAGTAGYAACGTGGTTCTCGTGGCTGCCCCGCACATTCCCCGTGGCACCGGGGAATTCCCCGTGGCACCCCACGTCCCACCACTGATCCCGGCGTGTGGCTGGAGGAGGAAGGGAGGCTGCGAAAGGAGGAAGGGCGATTGGGACATCCCTCCCATTGCACAAGGGCCGCGTGCGGTTCCCGCCTTGGCAATCYGGAGCCCTGGCTTGTCTGCTCCCTGCCACCTTTTCCCTTGGGATTTGGGCGGTTGGCACCACCGAGAGGGTTCGCACTGGTGCTTTGCCTGCTCCATCGCTCYCCGACTCAGCATCCCAAAGGTGCCGCAGCGACCGAGGGCAGAAAGCGGCGCTTCCGGAGGCCTCGCGGGCGCCGGGGAAGCGCCCGAAACCCCCAGCGCTGCCGCGTGCGTCACGCGGGGCCGTTACAGGCGCAGTCGCAAAGTCGGCCGCAGCTGCTGCCCGCAACCCGCTCGGAAACGCGGCAGCAGCCCCCCCACCTCCACRGAGGGACCAGGCGCCCCGTAACGCGGGACCTGTAACCGGGGTGCCGGCCCCGACGCCATCACGCAGAACCAGAGCAGACGCTCTGGGGCAGGAAGTGGTGGCCCCCAGGCAAAGCAGGCGGCACCCAGGGACCTCGCCGGGCACTGCGGGGGCCYGGAGCCACAGCCGGAGGAGAGGGGACCGTGACCTTCAGTGGCAGAGTGCTCTGGGTCCTGGACCCTGTCCCCCGGGCTAATGCCAAAGGGGCATTTGTGCTGCCTTGGCTCCTCCGAGAGCCAAGGGGCTGGAGCGGAGGGCTGAGTGGCTGCGCGCGGAGCAGGGCACGTGCGCCAGCTCCGCGGCCAGCAGCTGGACAGCGAAGGTCACGGCCACCCGCTGCCGCCAAGGACAGCGCTGCGGGGGGATGCTCCCTAGTTCCTGGCACCCGGCTCGTCTCCCTGGGCTCCTTTGGAGCATCTCAGGAGACCTGCAAGGGCCTTCCCGGCCTGGCCGGGGCAGAATGTGAGAGGCTGCGGGATGTGCCGGGATGTGCTGGGATGCACCGGGATGCGCCGGAGGGGACGGGCGGGCGGGGGAGCAGGTGAGAGGAAGGCGCTCGGCATTGGCGGCAGCAGCTCGCTGCAGCGCGGTGCCTGCCGGCGCCTGGGCCTGCGGCGCCGCCGTGCCCGCGCTTCCCGAGCCAGATCCCGCTGCCTCCATGGAGGGGGCAGGGGGCGGGGGGCTTGGGGTGCACATGCGCTTGGGGCGGAGGAGCGGGATGCTGCCGGGGTATCCCTGGGGAAGGCTCGGGAGTCCCCGTGAGTAATGGGAGGAGGAGGAAGCAGCGCTGGAGATGGGGAGGAATAAAATAAAAAAGGGAGGGGAGCCTGAGGGGGGGGCGTTCCCCCCCCACCCCCCCGGGCACCCCAGGCCCCCACTCACCAGGACG